AATTTCTGGTTTTACTACACTCTTTGAAAAGACTCAACAAAATAACTACCTGTTTTATATCTTAAATAAATAATTTAATTTCACTTTAATACACAACGAAATTACTTGTAAGAAAATAACAGCTCCTTTCCAAGGCCTATGTAAGCATATCTGCTGAATTGTATCTCTTTTAGTCTCATACGCTTGCATGCATCTCATTAGCACCCTGTTTTAACCTTTTCTATTCATGAATGACCTGCACTGTATACTTATTGCAGTTGTATGCTGTGCTAGATAAGACTGTTCTGCTGAAAAACCATTTCTTATATATGTGTGGACCTCCCCAACTAGCTAGTACTTTTTTCTGGACACTAATATTGCCTTTTTCATTCCTCTTTTGAACATTAAATACAGTTAGACACAAAGGAGGGTGGGGGTTCATTCAAACTATACAGACTGAACATACCCTCTTATCTATTTCTTGATTTTGTTGCGTGCATGCGTGTGTGTGTGTGTGTGTGTGTGTCCCTTAAGTAATTCAAGTTTCAGAGTTTCCTAAGGCCCTGCTTACAAAATGCCATATGCCGCTTCTTTGCCTTTACCTGTGCACAACGACAAAGGCTTCGGGGATCCAGGAAGGAAAAGATGTATAAAGATAACACCCTTGGAAGCTTGGTGGTAAAATCCAGGGCTTCTGCTGGAATTTTTTCCTGAAGCTTTCGACAGCAAAACTTTTGTTGTGACAAGGAGCAGCGTTCCAACAGGCCTGTGAGGATTCTTCTCCTTTGAGAATCTGTCCATTTGTCAAACTGGAAAAAACAAAACAAAACATAAAAAAGCTCCAGGTTAAGTCTGATAGCAGAGATACACGAGGAAGGAATGGCATAGAAAGTGAGCTTATTAATTATTTCTAACGCATATCATGTATTTCTTACCTAATCAGTAAATTCCACATTTTGCCACTTACGTGTCCTCTCTTAACATTTACATGTATGAGCATGTCCATGATCTGAGTGTGTACACAGAAATGATTCTGACTTCAAAGTTACTTTTCTTCATAAGGTTAAAACAGAGGGGACAGTCTTATCATGCTGGCTTAGGTAAACTGGGCCCTTTCTGGTTGGTTGCTATGAATCTCCTAAGTTTTGTTTTGTTTGGGGATTTTTTTGTTTGTCTGTTTTTTTAAACTGGCCTGGTTTAAAGTTCAGTTTGATTATGTGGGAGTGACACCATTCTTCTTTGGTCTGGTCTATTAGGGCCTGGTGCAGGAGCTAGAACCAAATAAATTTAGGTCCAAATAGGCCTCTTATAAATTTTAACAGTAGGAGTACTTCCTGATCTATTCAATGACCCATGAATCTCACCTTGGAGAGTATAATTCGGGGAGGAGGGACCCCTACAGAAAAGCCATAACTACAAAGACCACAGAAATAAAATTTATTCATGTTTGAGTGTTCCCTGATTTCTCCTCTCCCTGTTTTGGCACAGCCCGTATCTCCAACTCCCACAAAAGGAGACTTCTTTCCTAGCTCTTTTTCATGGATTGTCAGGAGAATGAATAGAGAGAAACCAGACCGGAATGGATAGGGCCAGTTGGACCCAGAGGCTGAACTGATCTGTAAAAGAAAGAGCCAAGGGGGACATGTGAGGAGATAGAACAGCTTTGGCCTGATGGGAGTTGTGGTGTCAATAGAAACTATGATTGCCTCCATGGTAGTCAGCGCGAGAGAACTAGAGAATGAAGGAAAGAAGTTTTAGGATTATTGCTCTAAGTTTTGAATTAGATCTGTAATTTTTTTCTTTGAGAGATAAAATGAAAATTGGAATTCATTTTTAAGTTACTTTGGGGCTGAAAGGACGACAGGACCCGAGCTGACAGTTCACCGGAGAAGTTCTGCTTTATTCCGGGGAGAAGCATACATTTATATAGAGCCGGTTCTGGGAGAGGGTGGTTAGTACATGGGGCGGTAGTTGATTGGCCGGTGGCGGGTAATGATTTCTGATAGGCTGCACCTTGGCCCTGCGAGATTGTTAGGACCCAGAAGAGAAAAGTGCCATGTTTTAGGGAGTGCCTCCTTTGGGGTCTTCTATGGGGCCTTACAGGGGAAGTACTACGTGAGTCTTTAGAAACTGAGGTACATGGGGACTCAGGCTAATTATGAATACGAAATTTTTTTTGTGAGATATTATTATTCCTGCAAGAAATCAGAGACAACTCAAAATGCTTAACAGTAGGTGATCAGCTAAACAAGTTGTAATATATCAACATGATAGGAGAAAGTATGGCATTATGGATTGATGGTGGGCTTGGGAGCAAGAAAATTGGATATCTCACTCCCAATATTTTATTATTCCTAATACTCATTAGAAAATTTTCAGCCTCAATTTCCTCATTTATACATTAAGAATTATTATATCTACAGTGTAGGGGTGCTGTAACAATTAAATACAAAAATATATGTATAAAATTCCTAGTAAAGTGCATGACTCATTGTAGGCATAGCAGCTATGATTATAAAATGCCATACTGATGTTAAAAATTATATGTATGTGGGTTAAGTCAGTATGAAAAGAAGATATGTGCATAAAGTTACCATGTTTGTATACTGATAAGAATGGGAGGTACATCTAGAAAAGACTGAGGTTAGCTCATCTACTTTCCTTGATGCCCACAAAAGAGAATGAGCTCAGATTGCAGAATAAGTGATTTAAAATGAATGTAAAAGAACATTAGGATTGTAAAATACTGAAGAAATCTATAAAAGAAAAAATTAAAACACTTTCCTTTAGAGATTGAAAAGATAATTACATTGGTTCCTCATTTATTTTCCTGATTACTATGGTCAAAGGTAATTTAGATTTAGCTTTGATAGATGTCCTTTGTCTCAAGGGATTTTCCTTTCTAATGGTGTTTGTTTAGGCTAATAGAAAACGAATTTGCATTCCTCGAACTCCAACCAATTGAAGGTGGGTAGATGACTCAGAAGAATGCTTAAGGGTAGGGGAAAATCCCTTTGGAATTTAGAAGATGCAAGGAGTAATCCTAAAAGTAGATAATCCATGGAAGAGTTAACTGTACAGAAATTCAATAATCTCCTACATCTCTTGCACCACTTCTCAAGTAAAAATATCCATAACACAATAGCAAGAAATCCAATGCGTGAGATTGGGGACCAGTAGTCTCCTATTAGGAGTCTCCAATTAAGTTAGGATCATTAATTAGTCTTCTATTTGAGTATCATGCACAGTACCTCACTTCACAATTCAATGCTCTTTTATGGTGCTTTCTTGACTCAATAGAACTCTGAACATCCTATTTTTAGAGTAGTTGTCACAAGGAGTCTCTCCGCAGTTTTAGGAAGTGAGGAGGGTTACTAGCGCTGTTGGGTTCCACCCATCCCACACTGAATGGTAAGAAAAGGAACACAGGGGAGGGAGGAGCAGGAAAAAGAGGGAGGCTTGCTATTTTGTGTCTGTTCATTTTATTATCTCAATCTGCTTGAGTTTCTGATCCTATTAAAAATTTAATTTCACGGGCCGGCCCGGTGGCGCACTGCGCTAGTGCGCCGCTTGGGAAGCGCAGCGGTGCTCCCGTCGAGGGTTCGGATCCCACATACAGACCGGTTCCCGCTCACTGGCTGAGCGAGGCACGGGGGCAACGCCGAGGGTTGCGATCCCGTTGCCGGTCCCGGTCCGGTACGGGGGTGATATTGAGGGTTGCGATCCGTTGCCGGACAGAGAAAAAGACAAAAGACAAAAAAAAAAAATTTACAAAAAATCTTGAAATTTAGTTCTCTAACTTTGTTCTTAATTTCAGAATTGTTTTGGTTATCCTAGTACCTTTACCCTTTTAGATTTTAGAATCAGTTTGTCAAC